TATGACCTTTCCTCACGAGGCCTTCAAGGATCTTGGAATCATCACTAACATCTGGAAGCGCCTTTGTGCTTACGACAATAAAATCCCAGTCTTCATTCGAATCTCGAGCTTCTTGTGGGTTGGCAAAGGTTTGATGTGGAATGAATTTGTATTCTCCAAATTTTGGTGATGTGACATTGAACCCATTAGCGTTGACCGCTTTGTAATTTGATCGACATATAACGGAGACTTGGGTGCCTTGAACCTGAGCAATTCGAGATCCGTAGAATGCACCAACTGCGCCAGCACCGACAATGAGGACTTTTATAGTCATATTGATATTTTGCGATCAAATAATATTGAAAATGTTGTTATGTTGAATTGCTGTGGACGTTCAACTAACCAAGGGAAGTAACCTGCAAATAGACGGTCAGTTCACCCCCGCTTACATAAGTAGTGCTTTATACTCGTGTACCTAGAGAATAGTTACAATTTAGATAGGCAATAATTTATCTGAGTGCACCCCATCATTCACCAAAGAAATCGCACAACGCGCCCAATATATTCCTCAATCACATCTTTTATTCGAAAATTACTAACTTATACGATATCGAAAACAATTAGTTATCCCATATCGCGCAAACTGACTGAGTCGTTTCTCCCCTGAATACTCAACATCTTTAAGCTCGAAGATGGGCTAATGTCTCTAAATAAATCTTAGACCAACGTGTACGATTCATAGCGAATGGCAAACGATCAGCGGGCGACAATATGGCATTATTTAGCGGGCGAAAATCGCATATATGAATGCGACGATGCACAGGATCTAAAGAGTGTGAAATGCGGATCTCACACAATACAAAGACTCTGGGTACCCGAATGAATCACTCAAAATTTTGTTTTTCAAATCATTTTTCGCGCCCGTTGAAAACGAAAAGACAGTGGCAGATGTTATCATTCCTTTCTGCCGAGAACAGTTGAATAATCAAGGGTGTCGACAAAATTACCTGGGAGGATATGGATGTCTATAAATCGGCCTGCGACTTTTCGAGCACCAAAACCCTCTGAACAGAAGGCCGATTCACCAGGTTTTCCACAAGCGCTGTGTATTTCGGATACGCTCTCTTCATATCCAAGCCATGTCCTTCTCCCCAACGATGAAATACGAAAAGATACGAATCGACGACTGTGAATGCACCTCCAACTGCGTAAAGGCCATTCAACTTTCTCTCAATCATATCAAAACAATTCTGGACATTTCCCATACTCTTTCTCTCAATACCCGGCAATGCTGCTTTTTCATCACTCATTCTCTCCGGTCTTAATAAGCCACCGAATGCATGAGCATGTAATGTTCCGCTCAGCCAATTCATCCATTCATACACTCTGATCGTTTCCATTGTTGTTCGCCCTAGAAGATGCAGTTCCGGAGCAAATGAAGATATCGCTATCGCAATAGCAGGAACCTCTGTAATGATTTCACCCTTAAGTGAGAGGACTGGAACACGCATCTTAGGATTTATGGAGGAGAAGTTTTGAGCAAATTCTACCGTTTCTTTTGTGATTAAGTTGGCGATTGATTCAAAAGAAACCCCAGTTTCGAACAGAAGAACAAGAGGGCATAAAGAGCAAGCGCCAGGTGCCCAATAGAATTTAATCTCAGGATGAGCCATGGCTTCCAGTGTTCTTAAATACTTGTAAAGAATAGGCACCAATCCTATAGACAGAAGATATTGATGTTACTTCGTACAAATACGTGAAATTTTGCTCGGATGTTACTCCTGGATGGGTGAGTTTAGTGGCAGTTGCAGGTTCATGTACTCCAGGTTTCGAGATGAGTCTTAGGATTGAATCACGTCTTTAAATGCAGAGTCAACATTTCTATCAGTATGATTTCGATATTGCTTAGAAATCCGGTGGTTCTGTGTCAAGGGTGTGAGAAAGAAGTCCCTTGCGTCGGCTTAATGTCAATTTACCCCGCTTTTAAGCTTACTGCAGGCTGTACAATTTAAAAACGACGAATAACATCAAAGTAGCTCACTCCTTTATTAACACAGCGGAAGAATATCCGCTGTGTAATCTATGTTCAAGATTTTGCACGGCAGGCCGGATTTGATTGCCAGAGACAAGTATAAACAACTTCTCTTATCTTAATTTGCTTGCTGGTACTTTGGCTTGCCTATCCGAAGGTTTGATGTACGAGTGCACCGGAATGAAGAACTGCACAATAGAGGTTTTCTCACTAGTTCAAGGAGAAAAACGACAAGAGCTGTGCAAGAGCATAAAATGTCCTTTGATGGGTTGGGGATTTTGTTGCTCACCCTGCGTATTCGTAGGTCAATATATCCAATTTCTTGGTCATGAAAACGAGATGATCAGCGATCTCTCAAAGCGACAAAGCAGTTTGCATAGTAAGATCGTACGCATGACGCCAGCCCATGGCATCGACATTGGCCTTTAAAGCTTCAGTCCATTTTTTGCTATTGATTTGCATATAAAGTTGCCCGGATGAATACAGTTGTAGCGGCCAGAAAACCCGACGAGGAAATAAGAACTATGGCGCAGCCTTCCTTGAAAGAGTAATGAAATTGATTGTTGGCTTTGCCTTATCTTTTGCATTTGTGACTACAAGGAGGAAAAACACAGATCTTTTCCAGTGCCAATCCTTATTAGACCCCAATTCTGATTTAAAGAGTCTAACACGCATCGATTATAAATGAGCAATTGTCTCCAAAACCCCATCATCGACAAGTTCACTGACATCTCGTAAACGGCTTTTCAAATATGATCGATGTTGCTCTGGAATCTCAGAAACCATTGTTGACACAGTCAATGGCCAGCAAAACAAACCAGCCGTGCTAGCTTTGACCACATTCCTTCGTCCCTTGCGCATCATTTTCATACCTGTCCCTCCAAGTTCAACCCATCCCAGAACAAATGGTAGACTCGCGCAGAAGTTTAGAGCTAGTTTCTCCATGTTCAGTCTAATGACATTTTTATGAAACTTGGTGTCAGGATTTGAAGGCTCTATTTCGCTGTGAAAGACTTTCAGTATGATGTCATTTACGTGAAGACGGATAGCACGATATTGAGCCCACATTGCGGCATGGCTAATCGAGGGATATAGATGAACTATTTGATCAAAGATATCATTTGCGCCAGGCTCGTCATCATCATCTACTGTTACTCGAAAAGTACTCCAATAATCCACCATCGGTACCTCCTTAGCCCATTTGACCAATTTTATTTCCAACTCTTGTGCTAGTACCAATACGCCGCGCATCTTTGTAGTAATCTGCCCACTTTCTCTTGCCGAAATACCGTCAAGACCAATAGAAACATGGTTCACACAATACCTTAAATCGGCGACTTGAACTAAACAGTGATCAAGAACTAAGCTTGAGCCTATCTCCCCAAAAACACTCCCATTCTTCAGCCAACTTGGTATCGGCATGCTCCTGAGCAGTAGCGAACGAACTAAGTGTCGCCTTATAATCTTGTCTAATTCCGACCCAGCGTTTACATGAGAGGTGCTGGAGTCGCTAATGTGAGTTGGAAGAATTGAACAACGCGATCGATATGACTCTTTCTGACGTTGCTGTCGTAACCTTAACATTGCAATCGCGCCATCATGATGGGTAAAAGTCTTCGCAGCGATAATTTTGATATCTTTGGCGACGAATTGAGCTTTTTGGGTCACGGAATTCTCAAAATGACTCAAAAGGAGAACAGTAAGAATGGCTTCATCCATTACGACTTTCTCTATGCTTCTCAGTGCTAGGTTCGTCGCCGCCAGGGCGTGGGAGTATATCCTACTCCCAATTGATAAAGCAGCAAGATTTTTCGTTGATCGCCCGAAAGTCGTGTGGGCAATTGCAAGAATGGCGAGTTGTAATGTGGAACGGGCAGATCTGGCATGAGATTCTTGTTCCGGCGATTTAATAGGCCAAGAAGAAAGTCGGCGAACTGTCGACGATGCGAGACTGAAAATTGAGGAGTGCTGAAAAGAACCGACGCAACAATTTGTTTGGCTACCATGGGTATTAAACATTTTTCCGGAAGGCTCGACAAATTGTCTTGTATAGTAGGCAATAGCTTGATCTTGCAGAGGTGTTGTGGGAGGAGATCGCGGCGATGAGAAGAGAACAGTGACATTTGGGATGCTTGGAAGTTTGATTGAATTGGCTTTATATCTCGTCATACTGGCATGGCTTGTCTCTTCTTCTGGCTTGGGAGATTGAAATGGTGAATTTTGTTGTATTGGCCGCCACAGATTGGGACCTCGAGGTCGTTTTATCGTACCACTCGCTGCCTCGTTTTCGTTCAAGAACTCGTATTTTTCAATGCCATTGTAGCCTTGACAATTGATTTTTGCTTTTGCACAACGATTGCAGGACGGCTTTGTTTCATCGCACTGTGTTATTTTTTGTAAGTCTCAAGACCAATGAACGATGATGAAATATCTTTAAGACCTGCCTTTACTCGTCGCTTCTTGCACGTATGACATCCACGGCTGGGAAAAGGCATAGCGACTCGAGCGATTTCATGTGCAGTTATGGGTGGAGAGAAGCACATTGTGGTGAGTCAAGGAGATATAAATATCGTTTCGCCATTCTTCAAATACAGGGAGAGTAAGCGCCGGATATAACGTTAAATCCGCTAAGTCGAGAATAATTGAGTGCCAATGTAAAAATCTGTCTGGGGGTTTAAGAATTACATGTGTTTATTTTCAATAAACCTTCCTACAACTTTTCAGCTGTCGAGTTTTCTGGAAGATTACAGAATCCTAGATTTACCAGTGATGTACGGTCTGGCTCTTCCTGACATCTTTCATCTGACCTTGAATTAATTGCCAAAAAGTAAAAAAGTGGAGGGTCATTATCACACAGTGCGCCACAATGGTATTTTAAATCACGAGAATATGAGAGAGATTGCATTATGGGTACCAAAGCTAACCACATTAAAGAAAATTAGATACTAAACAACAAGCGTTAATACCATTCCATGACTCGTCGAGAAAATCAATCGTGCCAATTCCAAATTCTAGTAGGACGTCCTCCTCGACCACGATTGTAGCCCCGACCATTTACTCCACCTCTGGGGCCATTTGGCGGGTTTGTGTTGTCATGTCCAATGCCGTTGCCACGACTAGCCCCACCAGTAATTACTCGAGGGATTGATACTTCTGTACGTCTTCCTCCTTCTTCCCCTCCCCTTCCGTAGAAAGCTCTGGTTGGAGTTCGCTCACTTTCCGCCAACTCCGATACAAGGACAGCTTCACCTCGACGAAGATGTTGAACTTCAGTCTGACTGATTGGTTCCGCTGGTATCCGAGAATTAGTAGGCAAACTATGCGCTCCTAGAATATTGTACCCGCTCCGAGGAGTTACAATAATGCCACGGGATCCAGATGACCTGGATCTCGACGAACCAATATCAAGATTGGGAGTGGCAAAGTTTGTTCCAAGTTGAAAAGATGGAGAGGGGGGTATTGTTTGCCAATTTGTGTCGAATGGAGTGTCTCCTTCGCGGTAGGGTCTGAATCCCGCAGGAACAGGGGAACTGTCGATTATGGTATGGCCGGAGACGGGATCAGTAAAAGATATGTTTCCATCGTCTTGAAGAACGCCAGGAATGGGGACACTCCACGGAACATAATACCAGGTACGCTGTATTGGAAGACTTGTGTCGATCTAATGAATTTAATTAGTATTTTTAGGCATACAGCAAAGGCAGTTGGATGTCGAACTAACCTCATGTTGGCACCAAAAGTGACAGATTTTAGCTTTAGAATGCTGAGGAGGCATTTCATATTCATTGGTAGCATACACCTGATACCTATGATCGTGGTAAAAGCGAGTGTATACTCGTGGGTCATTCTGATGTGGATCAACGGCTTCTTGTGGATAGTAAAGGATTTGAGCTCCTTGATCTACCTTGGGACAGTATCGACAAACATAGTCATGTCAGATATAGTTTGGAGCTTTGTAATACGCTGTTGGATAGATTACAATTGTATGAACTGGTGCCAAAGGTACAGCTCTGCCTTCGTGATTGATGATGTTCATTGTTTATTATTCTATGGAAGCCGAAATTATGCCTTGTGTGCGGCAGCAGATGATTTGGATCAGGCGGCAAGAGGTTCTGAAGCTTCTCGCAGCTATTATTGGAGCTAAACTTGAGTATTAGGTTTGAGGTATAATGCGGCTTCAAGATCAACTGCTGCTAGATGAAACAAAAATTTATGAAGATTGTAAATAGTGGAAGAACATATTAGACTGCCCAGAACAAAACTTGAGGATTCCTAAGGAGTAATGGGTAAAGTACAACTGCTCCGAGCAATAAATTCTGGATAGGTAAATGACCTTGAAAGATGGTACAGATCTTCTCGATTTTTGTGTAAAAAGAACAGAGGTTGAGATTTGAGGAAAGCATTCAAATTTTACACTGGGCCACATCCGAGAAGTTGGAAATTTTATATGATTCTAAGATTAGTTTATTTAGTGCGAAATTTCGATGCCGTTCTCTCAATACTTTTAGGTCCTTTCTCTGCCTATCGATTAGTCTTGAAGATATCATCTTGTGTCTGAAGCCTTGCTATCTATTCACAAAATATGGGTGAATTAGGGCCTCCATATTTACAAGTTTCACCACGGACCCACACGCCCAGATGTCGTAATCTTCCGTGGTCTGGCAACCACAGTGAGTCTTTTCCATGATTCAGCCAGGAGAAGCCTTGCGATTGAGAATTCTCTTACTCAAGCTCTTCTTGCAATAAATTTGAAGAACACAACTTTGCACGCTATGTATAACTGCTTAGCTTTTGTGACACTTAGATATCACTTTCACTTCATTGTTTCGACTACTTTATCTTCGAGCACTCTATATTCTACCAAGTTGTCTCTCAGTGGCTGACGATTATGAACTCGAATGCTACAAGGTATCACTTGCTTGACTTTGAAAGAACTCGAAGATAGCTGATGCTTTGATTGAAACCAGCTACAGTTCGTAGAGTTACAATATATAGGAGAAATTGAGTAAATTCGCCTCGATTGCTAGATGAATTTCAACAAGAAGAATCTGAGATTTCATATCTTAGATTGTTTAATTTGATTTTGAGATTCAATGACCTCCTTCGAAAGATTCCACAATTCCAGACTTTGTTGAAATATATCGTCATCCCTGATTTGAACATTCCCATCTGAAGTAAGAAATTTCACTTCCTTGATTGACCGTGTACCCCAGGTGAAGTCATTACCTTTTATGAAATCAGCCATTGGTTTCAACCAGTTTCTCAATAAGACCTTCTCGTTGTCATTCAAGAGATCTCCGTTCCCAAAGAACCATATTGACATGTCCGTCCCGTGAGTGGCTCCAAAAATTTTAGGCAACCTTTTGTCTACACTTTCTGTTCTCCAATCAATTCTGTATCGATTGATGCTCTGAATTGGGACATCAGAAGATATTGCGACGAGGAAGCCGCGTATAGTAGAATGTATTTGCATGTCAGCATACAATTTACCAAAAATTTCAATCCAATATTCCTTCGGGTGATTTGGAGAAGTGTGGTCCGGTTTATATTTAGCGCAAATGGCCTTGGCGATACTTCGTGGGTAATCCCATGAAAGACGGCCAATCAATCTCTCATACGAATGCGGCGGAAATACGTTCTTATAGAGCTGATGTTCTTGTGTAAGATCCCCGATGATGGTTTTGATGCCAAGTTCTTTGAATCGTTTCCCAAACGTGCCATCATTGATTCTAGTGAACAGATCCTTTGAAATGAACTCTCCATCGAGAACTGGACGAATGAAAATTTGCTTCATTTTTCCAACGGCAACTATCAATTCATCAGAGCTTTTAGTGCGAAGAACTTCCACGGTCTGCCTTGCACTCAAAGACCGAGATATTCCCAGAACAGAAAGTAAATCATCAAATTGTTCTTGAGCTTCAAAAATTCGTTTGGGCTCAACTCCACATCCATTTGACCATTGAATGGTTCTACGAATGATTTGACGTTTAGAATTTGGGCCGATGTCGTACGCAAGTTGATGAAATGTGGAATAAGAACCAGCTGACAAACCACCGACTGTGATATTTTCATTATTGCCACCAAAGAACCCGATGTTTTCATATGTCCATTCAAGAGCGGCTCGTTGATCCCAGAGTCCTAAGTTTCCGGCTGAAGTATCATCCCAGAGCTCTCTGCTGGCTAGAAATCCAAAAACTCCGAGTCTATAATTGGGACATACAATAATACATTTCACATCTGTCTCGGCCAATAACGAAGAAGGGTCGTCTGAGTTATTCGAGCCATATTGAAGGAAACCACCATCTGAATTTCTTAGTCATAGGTTCTGAAATCATCATGGAGATGACACCTACGAATATAGAAGAACACTGGCCAGCCACCCGATGGCGGCTCACCAAGTGGGATGTAAATGTTACACTGTAAACAATCCTCACTCGAGCTGCCTGGTGATACAAGTAGCGGAGATTGCGGGCATGGAATAGACGGCTTATTGTAAGTTTGCGGATTATTCTCGGAACCATATGAGAAGTTTAAAGGAAGCGGAAACGGCTTCCGCCATCGTCTTTTACCTGTTGGTGGTAAAGCATATGGTACTCTTGAAAAGCGATAGCATTTTGGTACATTCGTAGTTTTGTCCTTGATTGCAGGGCCTAGTAGAGCTCCTTTACCAGGAAGCAATACACGAAGGGATGGATACATGATTGGCCAAGAGAAATTGCAACACGGAGACGCAGCTGCTATGAGGAGTGAAGTTTGGTGATGGCTAGGTAATTGAAGTTGACGAGCACGTGCCGAGGTAACGTTCCCACATTTGTAGCACGGATAAACAACGGCTTAGAACAACGCTTGATCGGCATGCTTACCATGTTATTTTGGCAAAAACATTTGAAATGAGCCCCTTGAATCATTACTTGGGGTCCTGTGAAAAGAATGACAGTTTATGTTCTTAGAATTGTGTAAGAAGTCATAATTTGCGTGAGCAGTTTAAATAAAAGAGTTCAGTTCGTTGTTCATTGCCCAGGTTATTTGAGAACCAAATTATTAGAATCTGATATATTGTCAGTGAAAGTCTCTCAATGTATCATAAAAGATTTATATACTATTAGAACATGAGACTAAAGCAGATAGTTACACTATGTCTGCTACTTTTGAGGATCACCGAATCGCCCGATGATATGTTGGCTGTCTTTTCGAGCTTCGGTCAAAGCTTCTTGTCTTCAATTTAATGATAATGACCATCTAACAAGGTTTGTTCCAGCTTCGGTCAGTACATTTTCACTTGGAAATGCGGATGATCGAGAGGTTTGGGACTATCTGAAATCTGGTGGTGCTCAAAATCATTGACTCTGTCTCAGCAAATGTTAGTAGATTTGAACCATGAGTACCTTCATGGTGAATACCATGGTTAGTGATACTAATATTCATTCGTGATTTTGCGCGGAATGGTTAGCACCAGTTAGGGTAGATTAGATTAGATCAGATCAGATTAGATCAGATCAGATAAGACTTTTTTGTTCTATACCTGACTAGACAATAGATACTAGAATGCTCGAACCAACCTTATTCTTAGCCGAATGCGAAAGGGAAGAATAAATAAAAGACTCTCTTCACGTCAAACTGGGTATTTTATCACATCAATCTAACCCAAAGAACTCAAGTATCGCCTCGATACATCCGTTGGAAGAAGATTCGGTGCCCGTTCATTAAATGAGAACTTTGGTTTCGAAGGGTCAAATCATGCGAAAGCGCAGTCATTCGGGCCCAAAACCCACTCGTGGTGAAGTGCTTGACAAAGCCCCACCTTGAAATTTGTGCTATCGCATCTGATAAGAGTGGGATATGTTGAGCGCTACTGTTGGCGCAACTCATGATAGGACACAAATGAGCATCTGATTAGATGTGATTGACAAGATGAGATGAGATAAGATGGTGCAAGATGTACGAAAACTGGATAATGCCTAAGAGAAAATGGCATGTAAATCCAAGTGGGAACCAAAATATGAGAATGCAATTATATATATAAGTAGATATGATATCTATTGCCCATGGTTGAACTCGGCTATTTCTCATGCCATCACGAAAAGTTCATTGCGGCGATGGAATTGAGTTATCATTTGGTGTCGCTAGAATTAGCAATATGGTACTGCAATGGAGAGATTCGAGAGAATCTACTGGTGAGATTATTTGGACCATCCTAGAGATTGTGCCTAGAAATCAATTTCTTGGTTGTCTGAGTGTTATTCTGACATACAGATAATTTCTCACGCTTGGATATCTTGCCCCACTATCCAGTTTTCAACTCTATGCTCAATATTGGGGAGGGTTCTCAATTCCAGAGGGGCAGATGGAGCTGCCAATGATCTAGCCACGCAAAGTTAAATGCCACATAGCAGATTTAGTTATTTCTTCACATTATCAATCCATCTTTGAACATTCATTGCGCGATATGTCTTTCTTGTCCTCACTTAACATTCCCTTTCAACATTCAACTAAGATTTTCAAGATACAATTCATGTCGGCTGCAGGGTTAGTGACCTAATTCTTTGTCCTATAAAGCTCAGTGCGTTGGGAATACTTGGTTTTGTTATCGTTGAACGAATTTCAAACCAAACGGACCATTCAGTTGAGCACCAAAGATCTCGTCTTCGACTCTACATAAACTTTAGTCATATAAAACGACTAGTCACACGATTTGATGATCTGATAAGATCAGAATGGGGATATAGCCGACCGCTAATTTGGTTGGATCCACTCGCTCCATCGTATTGAACATGTGGACTTCGATCTCCAAATTTAGCTTGCTTGTCAAACTCCATGCAGCACGATGTTAACACTTGTTGGGGGCAATGACCCGGACATATCATCGAAATTCCATCTAGGGTGCTTATATGCATAGTAGACGACTCCCCGTGTTAACTGGCCTAAACCTACACAAGAATGGTGAGATATGTGGAAATTTAATGTTGAGTGTTCCTTGGCGCTCAAATTTTTCCTTTCCACTATTGTGATCTGGAGCCTTCTCTATATCGCCACTACTGAAAGTATTGAGAATAAATACCCTTTCATTCTCTCCTCTCTGCTCTTCGTCAATTGCTACATTTTCCACATCTTTCAGCTCTGAATTATTGGTTCCTCAACCAACAGGCGATTGCAAAATGAGGTTTCGATTCAATAATCTCACTCCAAATGAGGTACCAATCGCGGAAGATACGGCCCATACCTCATCCGTAGACGAAGAGAAAGCGCCTACGACAACAGCCAATGTTCTCTCGGAAAATGACAGCGAGGTCATCAACAAGGAGTTTCAGCATGGTGTCCAGGCTGCCGAAGCCATAAACCAAGTATGGACTAGAAACCATTTGATTCTGGCCTACATACTGTTAGTATAGCCCGTAATTATGAAATCACTTTCGTGTGATCTTTGACTGATGGTGTTCAATCTAGGATCTGGATTATTGAGTTCCTGTTGACATTCGCCTCCGGATTAACTAGCACACTTACACCCTACGTAACTTCCTCTTTCCAGGCCCACTCCCTCACGGCAACAACTTCCATCATCTCGAGTCTCATAGCTGGCCTCATAAAACTACCATATGCAAAACTCATGGATATTTGGGGCCGTCCTCAAGCTTTCTGTGTCATGGTCGCTTCATTTACTCTTGGTATGGTTATGATGGCCGGGTGTAACGACGTTAAAACATACTGCGCAGCTCAAGTGTTCTACTATGTTGGTTACAATGGAATTGACTTCACGCTTACAATCTTTATCGCCGATACAACCCAACTGAAAAACCGAGCCTGGTGGATTGCATTCTCATCTTCACCTTGGATTGCCACAGTCTGGGCATATGGACCTGCTGCTGAAAGTGTTTTGAACACGATAGGTTTTAGATGGGGTTTTGGTATATGGGCCATTGTTTTCCCAATTATCTGTATACCTTTGTTCGGACTTTTCTACTATCATCAAAAGAGGGCCGAAAAGCAAGGCTTGATTCAAAAGATTGACAGCGGACGGAGTTGGACTGAATCATTTACCTATTATTGCAGGGAGTTCGATGTCATTGGTCTCTTGCTGATTGCTGCTGGCCTTGCTCTGTTTCTTCTGACATTCAGCTTGTACAGCTATCAGAAGGGCGAGTGGAAATCTCCATTAGTCATTTGCTTCATTATTTTTGGTGGTCTATTAATCATTGCATTCGCTCTGTACGAAATGTACCTTGCACCAGTGACCTTCATTCCTTGGGGTTTGATGAAGGACCGAACAGTATTCTTCACCTATACAATGGTTGCTAGTCTTTACTGCGGTATGTACCTTTCCTTGTCCCAAACTCGCTTTCTAGAATCAGGATGATCAACAGCGACGATTTAGCAAGATGCTGACTTCAATTAGCTTGGTACATCTGGGACTCATACTTTTATTCCATGCTTATCGTCGTTTTCAATCAATCGGTTACGAATGCCACCTATATCTCAAATATCTACACTATTGGGTCTTGCTTTTGGGCACTAGTAGTTGGAATTATCATCAGATTCAACGGACGCCTCAAGTGGCTGGCTCTTTACTTTGGTGTGCCCATCACTATTCTCGCTGTCGGCCTTTTGATTAAGTTTCGTCAGCCCGATACCAACATTGGATATATCGTAATGTGTCAAATCTTTATTGCTTTCGGTGGTGGAACCTTGGTTATGTGCGAACAGATGACCGTCATGGCCGTCTCTTCTCACCAACACATCCCCGCTATTCTTGCCATGGAAGCCATGATTGCCAGTATTGGTGGGGCCATCGGATCCACTATTGCAGCTGCACTTTGGACTGGCATATTCCCGGTGAAGCTCGCCGAACTTCTTCCTGCATCATCTCAAGCCGACTTTACATCAATCTATGGTAGTTTGGTAGTGCAGTCGAGCTATCCACTAGGAAGTGACACAAGAAATGCTATAAACCGAGCCTATGGGGACACTCAAAGGCTGATGTTGATCTGTGCCACTTGTCTTTACTTCGTCACTCTTATTTCAACCATGTTCTGGAGAAATATCAATGTCAAGGATATGAAGCAAATCCATGGCCGTATTTGGTAAGAAACATAATCGAGGGGGATTGTGGATGGTTCGAAGCAGGTGGCGATACCTAAGAGATTCTGGTACTTTTTGTGGTCATCATTGAGAATTAAGTTGGGCTATGACAGCATGTCAGATCTGGACTCCAGAGCAAGACAATCGTAAAAGATGATGAAAAATTTGTAATTTTAATTACTAATACGGCACGAAGCTGCGGTGATTAATCTAGTTCCTAATTCAAATCAAGAGTTCACAGTCTAGTGATACATTTTTTCTCAGAATTCTCACCCGTTTGGGATAAGATATCATATCTAGTAATCGCTCTCGATTTGGTATACTTGACTGATTCAATATCTAATCGAAGTGGAAATTGAAAAATCATGCGAATACCAGGAAACCTCAAACCCTCACGCCATAATGACCAAAGATATATCAATGTTTCTGTGATTTCAAGCAGCGGTTTCCCTTCTATTTTCTTCCCCCTACTCGGAACTATGAAGATTTTTGAAGCAACTTCAACGTTTTTGGAGCTTTACTAAACTTCGCGTTCGACCGGTCATAAACTATCAACCATTATTCTACCCATGCTTTGCATGACGGACGTTTTTCACAGCATGGAATATCTGAAGAATTATTAGTTCCATGACTTGAGATATTGGGAAGTAATATCAGACTTACAAAGATCTCGCTCTGATCTGCAGCTTCTTTCGTTCAATTGATGGCCTAATGTCTAGAGTTTCTTTGTGAACCATTTTGCACCAAGACACAATCGACAGAGGACCAAGGCGCAGTATGGGCATTTATATTGTGTCATACCTCTCTTCTGGCCACAAGTCAAACACTTGAACTTCTTCTTCATTTGTTCCTTTGGCCAAAAATAACAATGCTCGCAGCATGCTTCCTTCTCAGCATCCGTGACACAACCGTTGGCAGAAAATGTAACCTCCGTCTTCAACTTATATTCTATATCAATCTTCTCTTTCATACTAGCTGCAGCATCTTCCATTGTTTTCCTTAACTCGGCTTTGGCGACACTTTTTGAAACTTGTTGTCAAGATTCTTATCTGGATGATGGACTCTTGCTTGTCGACGGTACGAAGTGTGATATCCTGTGCGGATGCATCCTTGGGGACCTCGAGAGCCTCGTGAAGATCGAAATCTGGGACCAAAGGAATCGTTAAAAAGAATCTAAATGTCTCTTTCTCGTAGGTCGAAGCTGTGGTATGATGAGATAGCAATGTATTTGGTAGATATAAATTGTAGTCAAGTTGGCTTTCAACTGAAAATGTAGAAGCCATGCGAAATAAAGAAAGAATTGTACTATAAGAACCACAAGTAAGCAAAAGTGACAGGTCAAAGATTGGATCACTAGCAAACAAAAATCTGAATAATAGGCTTCGTCGTTTGTCCTGTGTATGCAAGATGGATGATTGCATACCCTGTGTGAATAAAACAATTTCCTGATCGGCAACTTTCAAATTTTCTTTTTCTTTTTCTTTTCGGCCTAGGTGCCCTATTGATTAGAAAATAGTGAATGCTTCATGTGAATGTACAGCTTACCTAGCCAATCTCACTTCTTTTGACATCTGCTTCTCTGGTTTAAAGGCAATTAAATAAGAGGACAGTGAGGCCTCTCCTCGACCAACAAGGGAGGGAGGCAGGGAGGATGACTTCAGTGCTGTAATCCTAATAAGACAAGCATTGGAAATGTTCTCCTCAGGTCAAAATGATACATATTCAGAAAATCAAATTTTTCGCGCAAACATGCGATGAGCGATATTGAAAGAAAAACCCCCATCACCCCTCACCTCATGCTTATTCTGATTTAAGTATCATCAAGTTTCACGATAACAAACTAATACCAGATTTTGACTAGTTCATTCGAGTTTATATTTATTGAATTGAAAGTGTGTTCTTTGAAATATGATTATCAACTCTCAACTACCATAGCTATGAATCACTTTAAACCCCTAGTTCCCAACGCCCCGTGCTCCAATCTGCCGTAAATACAAGAGTGTAAGGCGGTTAACAATCTTCCTATATGAAATTAAACCCAGCTGTTTATATGCACAAGAGTATTACACAAGTCTCCCTTCCTTCACTTCGCTTTCTAGTCCAGATTTACCCACCATATATCGCGAATTCCCATCCCTAAACGCCCTGCCCATGCATCATGTAACGACTTGGATATGCAAGTAAATCTTGCTTGCTACTCCCATTCGCCAATCACTCTCAGTCGAAGAACTACCAGAAACTACACCAACCAATATAATGTTGACAAAGATTCTCCAACTTTGTCGCCTCAATCAACAACTTGTCAACTTGCTGAATATATGGTAATTCCTCGTCTGGTTTGAAGTCATGTCCCGTCAACTTCTCCTTGACGCGCACCAGAACTTGCACTGCCCTCGTATTCTGGTTTTCGTGTGCCTCGATATCCTGAGGGCCTTGAGTCGTGGAATTTGTTCTTGCACGAGGACGTGAAGCTGGTGGGCCACCTGGAGCTGCTATAGGATCTCCAGCGTCCGCAGTTAACGCTACAGGTTGAACGAATTCATCCATTGTTGAAGGTCTGCGATTCTGAGCAGCAATAATAGATTCCCGGCGCTCTGATCGGAAATTAGGTCCTACAGGTGAAGCTTCACCATTCAAACGCCAATTAAGGAGGGGATCATGGATGAACTAATTTGTTAGCAATGTGTCTCTAAAAGAAATGGAATCAAACTCACAGCCTCAAGAACTGCCATCAAAGACTCCTTGTTCTCTCTCAATACTCTCATCACATTTTCGCAGGTAATTCTAAAACTTCCCTCAATATTGCTAACTTCCATAGCATAAGTCAACATCCTAGTCAATCTGAACGGAACTCGTTCGGGGTATTTTTCACGAGTCATAGCAACTTCAAAACAATCTCCAAAATCGATATGAACGATGTTACCGGTTATTCGATCGAGCATCAAATTCGAAGGATGCCGGTCACCAAGACCAAGAATGTATCCGACCATAGACATCACTCCTAACGATCTAGTGTAGTTTGTACGCCTCTCCAGCCAGGATTCAGAACTCTTGCTCTTTAGCCAAAGAACACGATAAAGATCTTGGCCAGTTGTGTTATCAAGAGCATAACCAAAGACCTCAACCTTTTGCATGAGGGTAAGATTGTCGTAATCGGGGGCCATTTGTAACATGATACGATGTTCGATGTTGAGCAAAATCTTCCTGCTTTCTCTGTACTCCCGAATGAGGACGTGTAGAGTATCACTGTTGGGCACCCAACCAAGAAGACCGGAATTCTGGGACAATGGAATGGCAGGATATCTTTGTATGTTAAGATGACGTTTATACGACTCCGAATCGCTGGTGAGTAAGGTATTGCAGAGACCGAACAATTGCATGACACGTTCATCTTGTCGAATATCTTCGTGTCCCTTAAGACAAAAGACATAAGCGACACCGTCACTTCCCTTAAGACTAAGCTTCCTTGGACGTTGCTTGGAAGAAATAACACTGAAGTTGCTGTCGAAATTGACGATCGATATGATACGCTTCCCACTTTGATACGTTCCAGGGACAGCCAACTCCAGATCATGAGCATTGAGAAGCTTGGGGGACACGTAAGCCAACTCAAGATTGTTAAGTTGCGGTAACTGGCGTGCGATTCTTCTGAAGACTTGATAATACAGATCCCAAGCTTGGTTGATATCTCCAAGATCCTTCGTTCTTTGGTAGGTAATGCACCATTCTCGAGCCTCTTGAAGATCACGACCGAATGTTTGAGCGAAGGAGATTTCTCGCAAGGTCTCCGGGCCATTATCGAGCATATCGTGCAAAGGTGCGAGTGTGTTGAACATGCCCTCGATGTTGTGGTCGCCAAAGTACAGTCTGGATGCCTCTTCGAGACCTTCATGCCATTGCTCATGCCATAATACTGCCACACGAATCAACTCTTTACTAACAAGATCTGCTTGGTCTACCAATTTCGGACTGTGTTGTCGCATACTATCCATGATTTGCATGGCTGATCGTGAACGACGTGTATTGGGAGCGGATTTCATAGCGACTGTCAATGGATAGACTAGTGCTTGCGGGTGAGCTCTGCCAACATCTGCAAGTAGATTGTGAATGGAAGCGCGAACGCGAGCATTCGGCTGGTTGATGCGTGCAATAAGTTGGGGAATGACTTCTAACCAAGTATCAACGCTAACAGAAGAAAATCCCTCGGTAACGGCTTGATTGACTTCTACATGGCCACCATGAGCGAACCAAAGAGTAAGGAGACGTAATGTATCTTGCAATGAGCTTCCCTGCGACAGAGCGATTGACTTGAAGAAACCACGAACAGCAGGAACGACGTGATTAACGACGACATTACCACCATTTACATCATGTAACTCATGCCCGGGGTCTGCCTGAACAGCCTGAACAATTTCAAAATTTGCCAGAGCCCAGGCATGCCATGCCTTGTACCATTGTGGATTAAAGTGAGTGGCTGCTTTATACGAGGCAAGGATATCGTTAAGATTGTCGGTTTGCCAGTTACCTTTCTTCTGGGCAACCTGCCACTCTCCTTGTTTAAGACAGCACCTAGCAAGAAGTGTGGTATGATCAGCCAAACCCTTTGGTGTTAACAGACTGTGGGCATTTGCCCCGAGACCATTAGTGTAACCATTTCCATTCATCATCCCGTTCGTACCATTATGAAGGTTCATGGCATGCATATCATTTATGATGCCCCCTTGAGTTGCGATCTGTGCTTGTTGTAGTTTCTCTGCCAGACCAGATGTGAATATCTTAAGAGCCTCCAATGCTTGAGATTGCTTGCCGACAGCCCAGTGGAACTTTAATATAGCATACTGAACCGGAGCTTCAATATGTTTATTTGAAACCCTAACTCGTCGATCTCCGTTTGCACTCTCCACAATCTGAGGTAATACCACATCCAGGCTCTCATCGCCGCCCATTAAAGTTTTGAGGTGCTTTTCGGCCAGGCCCATCCTTCCCGACTTCCTACATAAGTTCGCAAATTTGATAGACATCTGCATGTTCTCCATTGGAGTTATGACCAAAGCTCTCAACTTCAACATTCTCTGCCAAACCTCAACATTTCGTTGACATCCGAGCAAACGAGTCTCCCAGGTTTGACGCATAACTTCCTGCTTGGCTGGGTTGTTGTTGCTCTGCTTATATATACTGAGCTCTTCCAACTCTGCAAGCATCTGTACCCGAACAACAACCGTGTAGGCTCTATTGTAAGACTCGCTAACCAAAGCACTCAATTCAGTGTCTAATCCTTCTCTGGCCTTTTGAACGAAAAGGGCAGCCTCACGAAATTGATTGCGATGCAAGGCAAGAATCGCTCCGAAGAATGATCGATCTGGTGTATGACTCTTCATGACACTCAAGTAATCATCCATAAGATCCCACTTTCTGAGACCCCAAGCAGCTGCTGTGGCCAAAGGAGCAATGGCTCTCTTGATCTCGAGTGACGAGGTATGCCATTTATCTTCAGCCAAGGCCGAAAGTGATTCCCACTCTCCCAATGCATGTAGACATCTCATTTTGCCCATTATAACATCGAAAGTCTCTGCTTGGTCTGGGAAATCCTCCTCGCGCCTTTTGTAAAACTCAAGAGCCTCTTCCCATCTCTCGAGCTTCTCGAACCAAGTCTCTCGTAATGTAATACCATCCTTGTAGAGTTGCGCTTTTCGTAAAATACCGATTGCGGCATCATACTGCTGTAGCTGATTGTTAATTTGAATCAATGCTTCAACAGCTCCACTTGTTTGATCTTGACAAAACTCCAGTTCCTTGTAGTGAAGAGCCTTGGCCCAAGCATGGCACCTACCAGCCTCTCGTCCCAGAACTCTTATATCAATTGGTAAGGCTTTATCGTCGTGTTCCATAAACTCTGCAAGGTTCAGCAAGATGCCCAAAAGATCAGGAGTGACGTGAGGAGATTTGATCGCCATTTCGATATTCTGTATCAGATCATCCTGATAACCTTCGAACAGCTCTCCCCAACATGAGACGAAAGCAGAATTAAACAGTTCTCTTGCAAGGGGTGGATATACTGATGCCAATTGAGCACATGACCTGAGTGCGTGATTTGGTGACTCCAATAATACGGATGCACTAAATTTGCGCATCCATTCCTGCCAATCCTCCTTGGTGGATTTCCCTGTTGCATCCCAAGCAGCCTTCAAGTGGACAGGATTGCTGTCCAGCTTTTTGTTTGAAACATCCGAGAAGTCGACTTCATCGGATTGATTTAGATAACGTTCTTCAGCACTCAGATCTT